AACCTTTTAAATGATTTTAAATGCTTTATGGGGGGATACAAGTTGAAACTTTATAGTTATTATATCAATCACATGTGATTAATAACTATCAAACAAATGGATTTACTATGCTTTTAACTGTTTTATCAAACAGACTACTTCAAACTGTTTATCAAACTCTTCTACATGTTAAACTATTTACCAAACTCACTTTTATATGCAAAACCTTTTCCTTTACAGCTTTCAAACTTATATATTGTCAAAACCATGTCTGATGCATATATAGTTATATAAGTAAGGTTTGAAGGACATAGGACTGATAACTCACTTTACTTCATGTTCCTTGTTTGGTTGTGGACTTAGAGTACCCTGTTGTTTGTCCGAGTGTCGTTTGATCCTTAGTTATATATTATGTATATATGTATAGATATAAAATACTTTTATCTCAGTTTAATACATTCAGTCATACAAACAATTCTACTAGTAAACTATAATAGGTATAGTTTAGGAAGATACTACATCATTACTTATAGTACAATGAAGCATACAAAGAGTCAGTTCATTCATGAGTCAATACATATTATTATGAGAAACTATATAAATATAATATGATGAGAAACTAAGAGAAATTACTATTATAATAAACTATACAACTATACTATGATGAGAAATTAAGAGAACTTACTATTAGGAGAAACTATACAAACATACTATGAAGAGAAATAGATAGAGAATACTATAACGAGAAACAATACATACACTACACTATACAAGAGAACATACTACATACTAGACAGAGAGAACATACAATACTCTAATACATACAATATATATACAAGTATACTATAACATAAATGTGAACCACTGTTTCGGGGCATGTCATCATTGCCATGGCTCGATTTGTATCCAGAATCTCCTGGAGGGAGAGCGTGAATTTGCGTATAAATCTATACTGGATTGACTATCCTACACCTTACTGCTAGCTACAGTGGGACCTACAGGTCTACAGGTGCCAAATGTCATTTCTTCCGACGTCTTTCATCGTCGTGTTTTTAGTCGATAGTATGGTACAATCATATCACATTAGACCTACTTTAATAACCGGTTTAAGGTAGTTAGTACAACATTAGTTACTATAATACAACACTACATTACTATATTATTTTCCCATTGCATTCAAATTGTGACCTTCTCACATAAACGGTAATGTATAAACTATATTTTGATAATGATAGTTACACTTGGGATAATTATACACTTTTGCGAGAAACAAACTTACAAAACAGTCGGGCCTTAGTAGAAGGCTACTTTTAGTAGAAAATATAGGATTTTCTAGGAGATACAAACATTTACAAACGTTCACAAACTTTTACTATAAACATTTACAAACTCTTACTTCAAATACTCTTACAAACATTTTTCATATAAACAAAGACACTAAAATGCTTATGAACTCACCAGCTTTAAAGTTGATAAACTCTTTCAAAATAACTTGTATTCTCAAGTCATCAGTAGACATGTACCGATGCCAGCTTTTGAGAAGATGGAGCACATTCAAGACTCATCTTTTATTTTGATTCATATTTTTGGTGTCTTATAAACTATACAGAACACTTGTATTAAAATACATTATTAATGGAATGGATGATGTTGTTTGCTTGTTCACAATTATTCTGTGTTGTGATACTGTACATGACGTCCTCCACTCCAGAATGATTTCCGTCGTTCCGGTTTTGGGGTGTGACATCGTTCAAGCGCTCCAACACATGTGTTTCTCTCTCTACTCTGACTACAAATTGTCATCAAATCAAACACATGATGCGGAGTGTTCCTCATCATTCTTCTCTCATTGGTCACAGAGAATTAAACGCAACTCTTACTCTCTACATCCACAAATCGTCATAAAAAAGATGCGGTATTTTTTTAATAGTTTGGAAATTTCGTTATGCTTTTAAGTCATTTTTCAATTTATTTGAAGTAATCTGTAACATCCCAACTCCCAGGATTAAAAGTAAATTAATTTATATTCATTTTGATAGGGCAACTCGACGAGTTGGAGGCCCCAACTCGTCGAGTAGAGATTGAGATAGTCGCATGATTTTTAGAGTTAACTCGACGAGTAGAAGCTGAGTGTAAAAACCCTAATTTCCACGGTTTACACCCTATCTAAATGACCTTAAGTCCTTAAACCCGCCTCCGTTATCACCTTAGCACCCTAAGTGAAACCCTAATCGAGTTGTTATCATGTGTGTGTGTGAGAGAGAGAGAGAGAGAGGCTAAGAAAATGTGTTTTGGAGCATTCTTTAAAGGAGCTTGAGGAGCAAAAGGTTTGGAATGCGAAGGAGTCCTTGGATCCGACATTCTTTCAGTGTTAGTGGCCATTTAGAGGTAAAAAGCCTCTAACTTGATCATTTGATTGTTAGATCTCTCCATTAGAGAGTTATGGCCATTTCTAGCAATTCCCTTGGGTCCTTATTGGCTTTGATCTTACCTTGAAGCCAAGACTTCATATCTGGACATTATTAGTCCCTTTAGGCCTAAAGACTCGAGCTTTATCCATTTTTGGCCAACTTCCATACCTTGAACCCTTGTTGAGCTTTGGTTTGGCAAACTTAGCCCTATATGTCATGCATGAATATAAAGCTTGCAACTTTACGTGTTATTTCATCCTTAGAAGGATAGATCTAGAGTTTGGGGCCCTAACCTTGCTTAAAAACATTTGAATGAGAGAATGGCCTGAAGGAACTTAACGAGTTAGTGAGACAACTCGATGAGTTGGTTAGGGTTTTCCCCGATAGTCTGGACGCGTTACAAACTCAGCAAGTTGAGTTGGATTTTCCCGATATTTCAGAGAAATGAAGGAACTCGACAAGTCGCATAGACGCACTCGACGAGTTGGGTCAACATGGACTCTTGACTTGAGGGATGACTTTCGTTGACTTTTAGGGTTTGGTCAAGTTATGGACTTAGGAGACCATAGCGGGGTAAAATGGTCTTTCACCCTTTCCGAGAGTAAGGGAATAGTTGAACATCCTTGGAGTTGTTATTATAAATTGTGAATTAGAAATGATTATGATATATGTAGGCGGAGTCTAGACCTACCATTGAGTACGAAACATACTTGCTGACTTACAAGGTGAGTCTTCTTACTATACTTACCTGAGTGGTAATAATGTGTGACCGGAGGGTCTTATTGGAGTGATTGATCGGAGGGTCTTATGTGCTTATACTGAGTTATGTGATATCATGCCTTTTGTCTTTGTGATTTATGTTGTATATTATTCTGTGCCTTATTGAGTAGGACCGGAGGGTCCATACCGAGTTGTGAAACCAGAGGGTCTTCACTGAGACACATGACCGGAGGGTCCTTATTGAGATATAGCCATGAGAAGCTAATTATTTGTGTGTGTTATTTTAGGAGACTCACTACGTTTTGTGCTTACAGTGTTGTGTGAGATGTGTTTCAGGTACCTCTCAGGATCGCAGGAAGGCGCCAGTATGATTATACACACCAGCTAGAGATTATGTTTTGAGGATTTTGGGATAATGTCAAACATTTTGTTGCCTTGTGTTTTAAACAACTTATAAATTTGGGGTTAAGAAATGTGAAAATGTGCTTTGTGTGGTTTTAAAAATGAAAATTTTATTTGAAAATGTTAAGAGTGTTACATAATCAGTTAAGATAAAACTTTATTTGAACACATATGTACTTTGTTAATATTACATGTACAAATAATATAATTTTATGATATTTTTTTTATTAAAAAAACAACAATGATATTTTTTGAACATTTTGGAAACCGCATAACCTGATGGTTACCTACAATAGTCGGTTCAATGGTATTTTGTATACTAAAAAACAATGATCTTTTTTATACATTTTGAAAACTTAGTTACCTTTTAAAGTCATTTGCCCAAACTAGGGCAGTCGTGTCGTGTTTTTGTCTGACACGACACGACACGACAAGGTTTGTATAACATGAACACGACACGATGTCGTGTTTTTTTTTCATCAACACGAAAACGAACCAATTAAAACACGACAACACGACATGACACGAAAAAGATAATATTACATAAATATTAGTGTATTTCATTCATACTTAAAAATATATAACACAACAAAAACGACAAACACAAAAAAACTGACAACCACATGCTTAATTGTGTCAATTTTCTGTCGATTTATGAACAGTAACACAACATGACACGACATTGTGTTTTTTAATCTTGACACGAACACGAATTCAAATTTTGATTTCGTCCCGATTTTGTTTCGTTTCATGTATTTTTGTCGTGTCGTGTCATAAATTGACAACCCTATCCCAAACTCTTTGTACTCTACTGATTTTCTTGTGTCTAGCAAATATATATATATATATATATATATATATATATATATATATATATATATATATATATATATATATAACACTTTCCCTCTCGCAGCAGTTTGTTTTTTGAAAGACTTCAGACTACAAAACATATGCGTGTGCTGTGTGGCGTAGCACTTGACTTGCATCTTCTAACATCTTCAGTTTTCATTTTTTTTTTTCAGGTCTTTTTTTTAGAATTGTTGTATAACTTAGTTTTTTAAACTTTTTTCTAAATTTTGATTTTCTTAAATTTTTATTTACGGATTTGATACAAATTATTTTTATAGTTTCCAAGATTTTTTTAACTTTTTTTTTTTAAAAACTTTGATTTTTAATTTTTTTTACCGTTTCTATTAATAATATTTTCAATTTCAATTGAATTTTTTTTAACGTGTGTAACTTTTTACGAACTTTGTAAAACATCATTTGCAGTACTTTCTTAATTTTTTTATTATTTTCTTTTTTTTTTATGTTTTTTAAAATTAGTTTTTTTTTTCTAGAATGAAACTATTAGTTTCTTTAACATTTTTTTAAGTTTTTTTTTTTTTTTTTAAAGTTTTATATTTTTGTTTTTTTACGTGTAAATTTTAGTATTCTTTCAATGTTTTAAAACTAGAATTATTAAATTTCGATGTTGAAAACTGTTTTCAGTTTATAAAATTAGTTTATTTAAATTTTAGTTTAATTCAGCAATCTGCAGATAATAAAAAACAAACATGCTTCTTATTATAGGCTGCAGTCGTTTGTTCCACCTATTCTGCTACATAGGATTGCAAAGGTGATCCGCAGAATTCATGAATTTTCGCTTCGAAAAAACAAATAGCACCTTAGCCACCAATATGCAATAGACAAAAAAATAAAAATAAAAAAGAATCGGATTGTCGATGTGCGGTGTGGTATCAAACAGTCTGAATCTAAATCTGACCGAGTCAGACGCAGCCTCTTATTAAACCTAGTAAGAGGCATATCAAACACCCGTTGGTTTAACAAAATTAACAAAAACTAACCTCCAAACAATCCAAAATCCATTCATTCACCAAAAACAAACATTGTAACAAAACACATCCAGATTAAAGATTTTAATACTGTCTAAAAGTAAGATTCAATCGACCTGGGAGCATATTTGTTGCTTCAAGAAGCGATTTAGGAGCAGTATCAGGAAAAATACAAGGGACGCCATGAAATACATGTCTTGATTCCCCTCCAAATATCAAAACATCTCCAGATTCCAAATTTACCCTTTCTGCTTTCTCAACATCCCTATCATTTCCATATAAAAACTCTGCAGTTTCCCCTACTGAAAATGACACAACAGGTAACCCTTCATTCAAACTCTCTCTGCTTTCATCTTTGTCCTGAAAAAATAAAACACAATTTAAACAAAACGATTCCTCATAAATATAAAAAGAAGACCAAGATTTAAAATTTTAACCTGATGAAGACCAAGCTTTCCGGTTTTTGTGTAGAAATTGACAATGCAGATATCAGGTAACATGAAAGGAATGATTTTTCCTTTGTTTTTTTGAATATGAGCATTTGAATCTTGTAATGCTCTTTTCACCATATCATGAAAAAATTCAGGAATTTCTGGAGGCTTTGAATTATCAATTGGTCTTGTATCAATGTATCCATTACTCTGAGGATCCCAATTCCTTCCAAGACACATCATTTTTAAATGTAGTTTTGCTCCATCTTGATACCCAGGTTGGTAAAAACCTCCTTCTCCTATACCTAACCCCCTGCAAGTGTTTACTATTTTCACCTGAGATAAAGTCAAGAAAAGTCAAAGGGTATATAGATTGAATGTCATCAGGTCTCTTTTCATAATCAAGAATGCAAAATGTACCTGATCATTGGAAGAAATATAGCCTTTCAAGAGTACCATTCCAGACCTCAATATATTGATTTTTGGCCCTTCTGCTTCGCGTTTAGATTGATTTCTTTTTTCTTTGTTTGTTGAAAGTAGTGAAGGTTTTAGCTTTACAGCTCCAGTTTTAACCTTCTTTGGACAGATGTCAAATCGTGTTATAGAAGAAACATGGTTAGTAATAGTATCCTCTGGTTTTCCACCTTTATCTCCAATTTGCTTTCCCTTCTCAGCAATTCCATCGTGTGATTCCATTCCTTTCTGGCTTTTTGATGGGATTGGATACGTGTGATTTGAATTCTTTGAATTAGAATCAAAGGTGGATACAGATTTTGGTTGTGTTGAATCATTATCTGCTTTGTGACACGAATGTGCGATTGGCTTTGAATTCTCTGACTGTATACCAGAAGATGGATTTTTGACAGGATGGGATGAAGATTCCTCTTGTAATTGAGGAGTTAAATCTGGTTTAGGAACTGAATTGGACATTTTCTCTGAAGTACATTCGGCACTAAGTGAAGAATCATCCTTCTGATAACTGGAAGCACCACCACAAGAATCATCTAATGCAACCTGGGAGTTAATTACGTAAAGAGATTGGTTATAGAAACTTGAGAAACTATAATCTTGCAGAAAAAATAGGCCCTGCTAATGATGATTAACTTGTGTTTCTTGATTTCTTCCATGCCTATAGGTTTTAATTCGTCGTATATTTCAAAACTACTGTGTGGAGATTGAATATTGTCGGATCTTTAACAATCTGAGGCTAAAAATTGAGGCCAGATAGTACCTTTATCTTCGGTTTCAACTCAAACGGAGGACCAGCATTCGTTTGTTTCCACCTACCGGTTGATTTACCAGCGGGAAACTGATTGCCTCGACCACGAGAGCGTCCGGAGGACATCTTGTTAGGAGAATCACTGCAATTAGCAAACACAATTTCAGTAATGGAATTTCTTCTTCTGCCCTAATTGCGATCATACTATTCAAACTGGAGTGCGAAAAACCTGAAATCGGAAGTTATTAAACTTGAATTATACGCCAACAAAACCCTAAAACAAAATTCACAAGTATTGTGTGCGATAGAGAGAATCGATGCTTGAAGCAAAAGACACAGTCTGCAGTGATTGATTCTAAAAGAGGGTTTAAGAAAGGGCGGAAGCAACGATTGGCATTCGTATGAAATTATGTATGTGGCGGTTTCTGTTTGGTTAAAATTTCCGGGATAATGACTTAAACAATTTCAATAATGTCTTAACCGTAGTTTTAATTTTATTATTTGATTTATCAATAAACCATTTGAAATTGTTTAAATTTAATTTTCTTAGAATTATAATTAGGTGTAAGAGTAAACTATGAATAATTTTAAATACTTTATTGGTAAATTAAATGCAATATATATATATATATATATATATATATATATATATATATATATATATATATATATATATATATATATATATAATTGATTCGTTACCTTTTCAAGTCGTTATCTCTTTTTTTTTATTGTCATGGTCAATATAATTCTTTTTTATGGTTGCAAAAAAATTATTATAAAATTTAAAGAATTCATATTTTCAAGAAAAATGCTTTATAGTTGTTTACATCAACCATTGTATATGTTGTGATCAAATTACCAAATATCTTATGTCCATGTGTATTTTAAGTCATATCAACCATTTCAAGGCTATAGGGAGTAGAGCTGGTTAAGAGAGATGCTAAGATGTGTTATGAGTGTTACACACCAACCCTTAAGATGTGTTAAGTAACTTGTTAAGAATGAGGTGTTAAGTTGGTAATGAGAGGATAGATGTGAGAGAAAATGAAAATGAGTGTTTTATTTGGTTGATGCTATTTATTTATTTTTTTCTCTTAAAATCAAACCTATTAAATTGTCATGTTACCATTTCCTACCTTTTTGTGCTAGACATATTAAGATTACGTGGCATTAACAAAAATCATATGTAACAACATGCTAAAAGTGTTACCACTCATTGTAACCTAAATATGTGTTCAAATTTGTTGCAAACATTAGCCTCACATTCTAACAAGAAATATGTTTGAGAGCCACATGTTACATGATGCAAATCTTTTGAATAAAGTGGACTTTATTTATAGTGTTGTTATTATCGTTTTATCACTTCGTCTTTATATCTTTTTATTTCTCTAAAGGCACTAATATAGCTAATATATAGTTATATGTTACAAAAGTAGCAATGTTAAACAAGAATAATGTATTTATGATGCATGGAATATTAGAGTACTTAACATGAAAATACATATGAGATGTACCCATCAAAATGATTATTGTGATGTTTAAAAATTATGATAAATAAATATAAACATAAATTCAGTTGCAACAAATTTGAACACTCACTTAACAAAACATGGTTGCAATGGTTTAAAATAAATGGGACGATAAGATATTTAGTAACGAACATTCAATTTTGTTCAAATTTAATCACCGCAGTTTTTGTCGTGCTTGATTTACCCATAAATAAATTGAAATTCGTTCACATTTTACTTTTATGACTGGTTGTAGACGATCATATTGGTGAAATATAAACAATTTCAAATAACCAATGGGCAAATCAAACACAAAAAAAAAAATCAATGAAAAAATATGAATAAAGTTGAAAGTTGGTTATCTTTTCAAATCTTTTATCATTTAATTTCCATGTGTGTATTAATTAAATACAACAAATTTCTATATTATCTTTAAAATATGCATCAATTATCCCTTAGATAATGAATAAAGTTAGCAAAGTTTATAAAATGTTTTAAGCAAGACTTTCAATTATAAAAAATGAAAATATCAAAAGATGACATAACATTTGGTGGCTGTGTATAACGTCTCTTTAGGGTGGTAAGCATGGTTGTCAAAATCGTGATCCTGATCGTAGGATCGTACGATCCTACGATCCTATATATGAAAAACGATCCGGATCGTAAAAGGATCGTATTTTGGGTAGGATCGCAGGTAGGATCGTAAAATCGTAGGTAGGATCGTAGAATCGAGATCCGATCCTATCCTACCTTCCTTTAATTTTTTTTTTCAAATGAAATTTTTTTTACCATTTTATGTCTTTTACCCTTTACCAATCTACCATTTATCATTTTTATTGTGACTTATGACTAATATTTTAAAGTTTTTATAACTTTTGAACGAAAAATTAAATGTTTGAAATATTTTTTATGATTAATATTATAAATTAGAATTATATTCTATTTTATGGGATCTTAGGATCTCGATCCCGATCTTACGATTCCGATTTTGCAAACCCAAAAACGATCCTAGGTAGGATCCCGATCTTGACAACCTTGGTGGTAAGTAAAGGAATAAAATATTTTATGTGGATTAAAATCAAATTATGAAGAAAATTGGGCTATGTCTTAATTAATATTGGGCTGAAATCAAGTAAAGAGAACTAGGCCGAAGAACTTTGTGAATAAATATTGGATCGAGGCCACGTTCATGGGGCTGGTGCCTGGTGAAGGTCCGGACCCAGCCTCCAGACCCGTATTTTGACAATTGACATCGTGTTGTATTGAAGTAAATCTTTTAGTCCCTAAATTTTAGTTAGTTTTAGTTTCTAATGATTTGAAATAATTTAAGTTGCTGGAGGCCTGGAATTACTGGATTAAGGCCCTTTTTTTTTAAATTAATAAAGTGTACTGAATTGAATTGATAACAATATTCAAATACTTTTGTAAAAACTGGTTTCTCACACCGCTATAGTTATAACTAATAAACAACAATCTAATTTATCCAAACACCTCTACATGCATAAAATGCATAAGCTTTACTTGGATGTATGTAAATACCTTTGTTCATTAAAACCATGATATGTTTGGAATGATCAGGCTCAAGAAAATGGATATCTTTGATGAGATTATTTTTTTTGTTATTTCTTTTATATTAGAAATAGTGGTAATAAATATAATTTAAATTGATTGGATGGTTTCACAATTTTATTTATTTATTTATTTATTTTTTTGCATGACTCTGTAATATGTTTTTGTTAGTTTCTTGCTAGCATGTTTTTAAGATTTGAAATTTACTTACAGAAAAATGTTATGCTTTGTTTTGCATAGATTAATGCTCTGGGACCATTTTATGGCAACTTGCTTTCATTAAAACCGGAATATAGTAATATGCTTTTCTTTCAAATGTTCATTAAAACTCGAACAATAACCGGATGGACTAATTTTAAAATTTATTTAAAAATCCAAAACATAAAATAGTCATAAAACATAACTTTAGTCAAGCTCAAAACATAAAATAGTTTTAAATGAAAAAAAATACAATTTAAATGGTTTTAATAGACAAAAATATAACTTAAATGCTATTCAAACAATGACAAATAATATTTTGACTGTTTATGAGGTTTCCCTAATATAAACTTTTAAAAAAGGAAAATGTATTATGAGCCTATTCCTAACTTTTTCTATTATTTCACAGTATCGTCTTTTGCACACTTTAAACAACTTTATAGGACCATATTTTTTTCACTTTTATAAACTTTGTTTTTTCTATACTATAAAGTACAAACGTTTTTATCTCCATATAATAGGAAAGTCAAACCTTCATCTCCTTCAACACGTTTTTCACACATTCACTTTAACTTCAAGAGAATCAGCCTTTTTTTAACCTTTGATCTTGCTTTATGAATATTGATTTCAAACAAAAACACTACAACTCTCATCATTTTATTCTTAACAACAAAAACTCAAAGCACCACCTTAAATCAAAGTCCTAAAATTACATACAAATAAACACATAAACACACTTAAAAACACTTTCAACAAAACAACGTTGTATCAACAATTGACTTCCATAACCCAACTTCAACTTCAACCCAAAAGTCTTCAATCTAAAATTAGATTTGCATAAACATTATCAGCATATGTAACGTACCACTTATACAACATAAGATACAAGTCATTATAGCATAAAATTCAACCAATTATGATTTGGGTAAAGTTTTTTTTTTTTACCTAATTTGAAACGTTATACTTGCATAGATTCTCGAATCCCATGTATTCATGTCGCCCGATTTTCCAAATCATGTTAGAAATTCCAACTCCACCTATTAAACCAAATTTTTTATTTACAAAAAAATATATTTCATAAAAATAAAATTGAATGACGTAAAAAAAAAAAATACTGACCTAATGATATTGCACTAACAAATATTGTGAACGCGAGTATAAATATAATTAGCGACGCCCTTCCCATTATCATAATCAGCTTTCTCACCACATGTTGCCCCACAAAAGCAGCGATTGTTGCCACAAGAAGAAAATAAAGCGCTGCCAACAAAATTACGTAAATACCCTTTCCATAAAAAATAGCCCTAGAAGAATCGACTTACCATAAGGAACAGGGAAACGCTTTAGAAGGTAATATTCCACAACAGACATCGAGGACGAAAATGTCATTGCAAACGTGGCAGTTGCACTTGAAACCTACACAATGTTTTTATTGCTCAAACAAAGTTTAATTTTAAATTTTAATTAAAAAAAAAAAAAAAAAGTTACCTGAGGAGGTACACCAAGCTCCAAAAAGAGTGGGCCCATAATAAAACCTCCACCTAAACCAAGTAATCCACCAACCATACCAGCTAAAACACCACATGTGAGATACAATACTAGCTGTCCTATGGTAAGATTGGTGGAGTCTCCCTTAGAGGATATAATTCTTGTTCCTCTGTATAGGCTAATTGCCTCATACCCCGATACACCAAAAGAAATTGGAATCTACACAAATTCATATTTAATTATTTATTCAGACCACACTTTATTGAGTTAATATAGAAAATGAAAAAATAAAAATTGTAAGGATACCTGTGATAAGTTGAGCACCCAATACCATGTTGAACAATTAGATGTATAATTCTGTCACAATACATTAAAAAAAAAAAAAAACATAAGTTGATATAAAATAATAAAACTATGAAAATTTGAGGATTTTAAAGATTATGTTATAGTTTTATTTTTTATAAACTACCTTCGCAAGTTGGAGAGCAAGAAATGCAATCCAAACAAAGACAAGAAGCGCGAGTTCTTTCCAACAAACATTTTCAAAGACAGAGACCTGAAATGTTTATATATTAAAAAATACTAAATAAAAATTAAAAACAAAAAGTAGATTTTCAAGGGTTGTATAGTATCAGTATTAGTATTTAGTATCATTATCAGTATCACCTCTTCTTTTTTTGGTCGATCGGGTTTGTTAAGACCACCGGGAAGAATCTTGTATTCCGCCTGGCTACCATCTGGTGACATGGCAAAGACATAAAATGATAAAACTTAAAAGTAGTCACATGACATTTAAGTCAAAAACAAAATCATGAAATTTATTTTTTTGTGGGGTTGCATGAAATGATCAAATCAACTTACTCTCCAAACGCCTAGCAGCCTCCTGAAATGAGAAAAAAAAAAAAATTAATATATATTTAACATGTGGATTTGGAAATTGTTAATTAATTAATCAATGAAATTTTTATTACCTTTTTCATGATGGTTTCTTTTTTCCATGTATCAACACCTCTACAGAAGGCCTTGCTTGATGTGGCTGAAAATTTATCATTCATATATGAAAGGTCATTTAGGGAAAAAGATTTATGGAAGAAAGAAATAATTACCAATAATACCTATGAAAAGAACAATTAGAAGAATAGTGACCATCCAATCGGCAAAAATTACATTAAATGCCACTCCAATACTAATTCCTAACATCAACATTGGTTGGATTAGAAGTGCCAGGTCATAGTCAATTATTGGCATGTCAAGTGTTGGATGCCTCAGCTTTAGATTATAGTACACAGTCGAGGCGGCTGCTCCCATAATCATGCCTGTTCAACAAAATCAAAATCGATAAACTGTTACTGTTACTGTTGTCAACTGGTATTCATGTAAATGAGACAAAAATTGTAACTTTTTAGTGGAAGGAGATAAGTATAGTGGATAACTTAACTAGAAAAAGACAAAAGAAGTGTATTAAGGTAAATTTATATGTGTAGGATATGCTTTTGGCTTACATTTTGAAATTGCAGTGGCGGATTTAGGATCAAAACCGATAATTAGGGTAAGCATTGGGACGAAAATACCCCCGCCTCCAACTCCACCAACACTTCCAAATGCTGCTCCACAAAATCCAATGATGCTCCCAAGAACTATTTTCCAACCAAGTTTCATTTCCTGTGAATTTATTATGATTGTTCATCTTTGAGTTTTCATTCTTGAAGTATTAATCAACAGTTAATGTAATACATAATTTTTTTTTTTGGCTAGTTAAGGTAACAACCATCTAGAAAGAATCAAAAGATGTTGGTAATTCCTTCCACATATAGCAACTGCAACAAAAGACTTTACACGACATGTTTACAATAAATGTATTTGTCAATCTGACAAATGTTTTGAACACCATTCAATAAAGACAAAAGAAAATGTGGTCCAAATTAAAGAACTACGTAAATCTTTAAAAGTGTGAGGGGAATTATATTATTGAGGCCTTGCAAAATGAAAAAGAAATTGCCTTTTTAATGGGAAAAAGGAATATAGTATTATATTTCCTGGTTAAAAACCATTTTTAGTACGAAAGATAGTGAATTGTTTCTAGGAATCTTTCAACTTTATGTTAAGTTGATATGTACTGACCATGAAAGCCTCTTTCCTTTTAGAGCACAGAAGGTTTTCTATTCTACGTAAGTAAAAAAGAGAACAAAAATTTCTTTAAAAGGTTTTGATATATCATGTGGCTCCATTCTAGATTCATTTCATGGCGGATTTTGTCATAATATTTGAAAAATACCCAAATTAGAACCCACAAAATCGAAAATTAGAACTCGCAAAACAAATTTAACCTAAATGTTTATAAAAATACTTCAATAAAGCTTAAAAGGAAAACATAATTAAGGTATATACGCCCCCAGATTGATTTGTGTGCAATTCAGTGCCTAATCTATTGATCCATTTTAAGAAAGTGAAATTGTTCTGCAATCTGCGTAATTGGTACTCCATGATTTCCTAATATTTTATTGAAATTAGATCATAAATAGATATTAACACTTACAGGCCAGATATGGTGATAACCCGATCCATCTGTTTCGAACAAATAGTTCGTCAACTTCATGACATACTCCATTTTCGATTCATCGTTATCGCCATCGCCATAGCTTGCAACTGCGGACACATCTTCCGTCATTACGTTTCTTTCCGCGGAAGCGAACATCGAAGCGAACACAAAGTTCATCAGCATCATCGTCACAAAACTCATAAGCCTCCATTTATGTGCACCAATTTCAGTCATTGATACAATGATCGAAACGCCTCAGGATTTTGTCAATTTCCCGCAGATAAAATGTTCCCACGCACGTCGGCTGTAATTTGCAACCGAACGACAATTTCTCGATACTGTTCTTGTGTCTCTCCGATTGAATAGAAGAGGGAACAAAGCAATAATAATAATAATAATATGCGTATCGATCAAAGGAATTCAGAAAGAAACTCGAGATTTGGTGCTCGGAAGCTAAGACATTTTGCTTGTGTGTTATTTTGTGTTTTGTGGGTGACAGGTGCAGAAATTTGTGTTGCAATATAAATGATGTTGAGAAGCTGGGGGATGTGTTGTCTCGCGTAGGGGAATAGGGTAGTAAAGTGTAAATTAGACAAAATTATAAGGTTGGCCCATGTGGTTTACTATATTTAACACTATGAGAGCAATGTTATAAAGCGTTATGTGATTGGTCCTATGGTTTCAAAAAATTACCCATGGTCAACTTGAGAAACACCATTTGCTTTTGGCCATTAGTCAAACCACATCATCAAGTTGTTGGAACCTCGGCTACCACGACGTAGTCCTAGGTCATCACGATGTGGCGGCTGGGATTTTCTTGATTGTTTGGTCGTATGTGGACCACGACGTGGCCAAGGAAGACCACGTTGTGGCGGTCGGTTGGAGTCAACATTGACTGTTGACTTTGACCGTTGACCTTGAGGATTGACTTTTGACTTTGTGGATTTTTGTTTAGCTATTAATGTCCTAATAAGTATATTAAGGTTTTGCCTTGTGTGATTATCTAGGTGGCGTTTAGCACCTATTGTGGGATTTTGAGGGTGTGTTGACTTTTGAGCTATTTTGTGAGGCGAGTTTGCTCACTATACTCTAGGACGCTAGGGATTGTATGTGTTTGTAGTCTTTGTGACTCATGTTGTATGTGTTGTATGTCAGTGTGCCTGTTTGCTATATATATGTGAGGTGGAATAGACCCAGTACAATCTTGTGCTGACGTATGAGTTGAAATAGATTCGGGGGTGAAATAGATCCGGTACAGCCTTGGGTTGACATATGAGTTGAAATAAACTCGAGGGTGAAATAGACCCGGTACAACTTTGATTTGACATATATGTATGGTATGCAGTATTTTGGGGAACTCACTACGTTTTGTGCTTACGGTTTTCAGTTTATGTTTCAAGTACTTCTGGTTCGAAGGGGAAGAGCTCAGGATGATCACATTGCACACACCATGATTTTCCACTTTATTGAATGTGATGTACTTTTGGGATGATTATTATATACACTGAATATTCTACGGTCTTGAAAAAACATGTTTGGTTGATGAATTATTTAAAATAAAAAAAAAAAAATTGTTCTGAGTTTTGAGATGTTGCACGGCGTGTCGGGAGATGGTGACCTTTTGGGTAAGAAGGTCAAGACAACGATGTCCTTTAAGATCAGATGATGGACCAACATAGACATATGCCGAAGAACGAAGAGAGAGTTTATGACAACCATAAATGAGGTGCTTTAGTTAGGTTACTAAGAAATATTAATCAAAAAATGGTTTACATAATAGAACTAAGCTATGTAACATTTTTGAGTAAATGTGTTATAGAAGTAGAGATCATATGTAGTAGTAATATTAAAAACTAGACATTTACTCCAAGAATACGTTTGATACCTTCTATCAAAATGGTTATTTTCAAATTTCAGTGAAGATAAGTTCTACTGTTGTATGGTTTGCTATGATAATAAATAAGAATAATTGATATTCATATCTAAGTTTGGTTTGTTTATGAGACAACTATTTTTTATAATTTTGAACAATATTCTTATTATTAAAATAAAAGCACTTATTTATTCTTAATTTTAGTTAGTTCTAAATGTAAAATTTTGTTTTAAAAATCCTTAATCTTTAGAAATCCTTAATTTTGACTCCTCATACATATCTATTTTTGTAATTCGAAACAACCAGTAGAGATTTCAGATCTTATTATACGTGACCCCGAGCCCCGATTCTGATCTTCTTTTCTGGTAACTGCCGCTTCGATCAAGCGTTAAACTACTACTTATGGCTTCGGTCGAGAAAGGTATGGGCTATGGGTCGGTAGGATAATGCTAGGTCAATTCGGTCGACTGTCTCTACTCCCACCTATCCCGCTTAAGGTTGTATGGATGAAGCTTAGTTTCCCGTGAACCTTTTGCCGGTAACCGGCCGCATCGGCCCCTTCGTTACCGTCAGCATTTGGTACTCTGTAACACATTCGTATCTAAGATAGAAATAGAGTGTTTTAAGTTAACTAAATTAGAATTTAAACTTTGATATTTACGTATTTACATATTTTGAACGAAAGTAATTTTATCAGAGTGAAGGATTTAAGCGGGGAATTTTGTGAATTTAAATATAGTCTCTGAAGAGAAATTATATATCCTCTTACTTTTATTCCTGTAAATTAATCTATCCAATTAAACGATGATATGTATCATTTTAATATATTTAAATATCATTAAATAAGCATTAAATTTGATAAATGTTTTCACTTAATTTGATAGAAAGATTTGTAGGAATAAAATATAAGAAGATATTTAACTTCTAATTCTCTGAAACATATCATTTAAAAAAATTGATATAATGTTGATCCCAATTTATTGAATATTTATTGGGAGAATTTATTACGCAATCAGAAGTACAATGAATTGTATTCATGCAAATAAAGAAACAAGGAAACTTCTTGGAAACTTCAATCGATCACATCCAAATTTCAAACAACATTCAGGTAAATAGAAGTAAAATCGACGGTTGCTATCTAGTTATCAAAATGAATAAATTTTTAGAAAGGGTCAAAATGGTTGACATAAATGGGTTTGCAATGTGAATGTTTTTTTTTGTGTAATATTTTATCCTTTTCAAAGATGAATGTGTTAAAACTTAAAAATGATTAAAAATGGTAATACTATAGTAATGATCTAATATCCTAATTGTATGAAACTATATATAGTATTAAAATTTAGTACAAAGTAATTTTATAAATACTTGATATATTAGTTATAATTAGGGAAATTTATTTACACATGCTCAACCTAATTGGTTTTTCACTATTGAAATTATATTTTTTTGCATATTAGTTGAGTTAGTTGGTTAAAAACTTAACTCCAGCGGTTTTTTTTTTTATATATAATTATTTCGCTGGTAATCTAATAAAAATCTAGTATATTCATATTGTTTATCTCCATAACTTTTTCTATCGATATTGTTTAACAATTAAAGTAACATGTACTAACATGTAAATTTAATGTATTTCAGTACATTAATGTCATTTTTGTTTGATTCTATATAAATTTCTTTGATTTCTATGTCATACATGCGATATATTTATATTTATGGTATAATATAGCACGTGGTTAGAAAACTTATTATCATCGATGGAATTATTTATTGTTTTTGTTATAAAGATAATTTACCTATATTAGTTTAGAAAAAACAAATGTTATTTCATTAAATAAGAATATAAGATATCAGAGCCTTACATTTATTTCCAACCAAACTGGGTGAGCAAATTCAAGAAGAGTAAAAGAGGGGTGTTTGTTTATATTTTGAGCAAGAAACAACAAAATATTCAACACGATTCCATCCGCTTGTATGGTGTTCAAAGAAACAATGGCGAACAACATTTTGGATAAAAAATACGATCGAAATATAATTGTTTATATTATAAAATTGTACATCAACTACAATGATTTAATTATTTGGCAAAAGATATCATCATGTACAAAATTCTAAATATATTATATAATTTAAAGATGACAAAATGACTTAGAGTAATGAAGTTTTAGTTTTGTTAAAAAAGACATCATTAAAGTTTGTTTTTTCCATACATATTATACAATTAGAGTTTCTAAAGTGTATATAAAAATATCTATGGCATGTTGTAGAAGGTTTAGGTTGTATTTGATACCCGTCTGACTGAGTTTGAATCGGACATTTGGGCTGACTCAGTTAAACATTAACTATTTGATGTTGTGCTATCTTGGTCAAACGTCTAGCCCAAATGTCTTACCCGATCAGCTTTATAACACATGTTGACTGGGAATAAAGACGCTTCTACGCTCTATATTCTTTCTTCCCTCGTTACCCATTCTTCAATCGTAACCTAAAAAAACAGCGCAGACACAAAAATCACCACCTCTTCCATCGATAGCTCCCCATCATCTTGTCGGTCGCCACCATCTAGCCCACCCACGAGCTGCAGTAGAGACAACTAGGCGATGAGCAACCTTTGGATCCAACAATGCAAAGAATGGATTTACAACTTTTGTTGCTGAGAATAGCCACCCACTGGATATGAATTGAATTGAATTTATCAGTAAATCAATCTATGGGAAAACAAAAGAAAACATGGTAAGGGCTTAAAGTACCCAAATGTGACTTCATCAACAGTGCTAGCATGAGCTCCACCAGCTATAACCATGTCAATGGTAGCTCCTGTAAGTAATCTCCCCTAGAATGTAAAATTAATTACAAATTCATAAACCAATACACATGAAAATTCAAATAACTTTCAATTTATGAATGTTTTTGCTATAAGTCCATTGTTGATTATTTATATTAAAGCTGAATACATTCAAATCTGAAATTGATTTTATACAATAGCTTATGAGTATTGTAAAGTGAATGAATTGAGTAAAGCCATGGAGGTTGTTGATAAATTAGAGAAGAAGTTACGGGTTAGAACATTGAATACTTTGATTAGAAAATTATGTAGTGAGAAGAAAGTGGAGATTACAATTCCTTTTGTTCATAAATTGATTGATAAAGAGAAGAATTTGAATCGAATAATGCTTATGGTTATTGTTACTGTATGTTATGATAGCAATCATTATGCGATTATTTATGATATTAAGAAAGAATATCAAAAGGAATTGGTTAGTAGGTGAAACACAGAAAGGTGATAATGGTTTAGAAATTGTAATGTTATCATTAATGATGATTGTTGAGCATTATAAGAGTGTAATGTTTGAATATTTAAACGAATTGGTTAGTGTAATCTTTGAATATTGTTTGGATATATGTTGGGACCTTAATTGTGCTATTATTATTTAGGATGATGTTGATTTCATTAATAGAAAATTGTTTTATGTTTAAAATTGTTCTTGATCATGATAAAAGTTATGATAAATTATTTTAAATATTAATGTTTTAGGATGTTGGCCATGAAAAAGAGAGAAGTTGACGTGGATATTACGTGGCATTGAGATTGTCTTCAGAAAATAACAAATTTCTAATTTTGTTCAAAAAATATTATTATATCTTAGTTAAGTGTAAT